GGGTTTTTCTTTACCATAGAGAGGATCCTACGATCATCCACCACTGTTGTCTGCCATGGAAGTCCATACCTTTTTATATTTCTGAGCTCACCAGTGCGTTCTTCTTTCCTCAAAATGTACCAAGCTGTTGATTTGGCCACTCCTAATGTTGTTGCTATTTCTCTGATGGATTTGTTTAGTTTTTGAAGCCTTACAATGGCCTGTTTCACTTGCATGGACAGCTCCTTTGAACTCATGATGTAGGTTCACAGCAATAGATTACAAATGCAAATATCACACTTAGAATCAACTCCAGACCTTTTACCTGCTTATTTGATGAAGAAATAATGGAGTAGCCCACACCTGGCCATGAAACAGCTTTTGATTCAATTGTCCAATTACTTGTGGTCCCTTGAAAAATGGGGGGTGGCTACTCCTAAGAGCTGTAATTCCTAACCCTTCCTTCAATTTGCATGTACAAATTAAACCTGAGAGTGTGCACATTCAGCCTATATCCATTACATAACTATAGCTTGAATATGTTTTGGTAGATACCTGAAAAAAAACTAAAATTGTGCCTGTGTCCAAATATATAGGGACCTAACTCTTTGTGAGGTGGTACAATGCACCTCCCCGGCTAGTGTATGAACTCTTATTATATATAATTGATCCCCAATAAAGGTGCCTAAGTGAAATTGTTAAAAGTTGGCATGAACGGATCCTTTAATACCAAAAAAAAAAAATACCATAAAAGCACGACAGTGTACCTCCCCCACTAAATGTAAACTCAATTTCCTATATGTTTGTCATTTATATTAAGTACACTAAAAAAGATGCATTTTAGTAAAAATTGTAAATAAAATATATAGTGTTACAATGCACCTCCCCACTAGTGTGTTAATTCTTGACACATAAAATTGTGCCTTGAATTAAATAATGATCATGCCCACCTATATCAAATTGAGCAAGTGCTACAGTGCACCTCCTCACTAAGTGTAAACTCTATTTTCCCATGTGTTTGTCATGTGTATTTTGGTACACAAAAGATGCCTTTGATTAAACAATTGCTGCATACCAACACTGATCCTCTAATAACAAATAAATGTGCAGAAATGTACCGAGTAGGTGCTACAATGCACCTGCTTCACTATATATACATTCAAGCATATAAATACACAAAAATATGTTCAAATTTTCAATGCATGCTGATTAAAGTGAGTCCTCAAACATACTTAAATTATGTGCTTACATTTGTTAGAGTGAAATTCACAAATCTATAATTTACAGAGGGAATGAGTTCCATTTTGTATACACGTTCATGTAAACTTTTGCAGTACATGCTTTATGTATTGTCTGGTAATATATATATATATATATATATATATAGCACAATTATAATGTCATGTACTATAATAAATCTTCAATGACATTAATGACAGTTTGTCATGTGAAATACAAGACTTGAACATAGCTGTTTTCTGTTTTTCTAAGTGTATCGTATCTGTTCTTTTACCCTGATTCCATTATGAGTCCTGTATTTCTAAAGACAGCCTGTCGTTAATGATGATGAATATTGAAGACAGCTCCTGATAAGTTATATAGCAACGTGTTTGACTCTTTCAGATGGGTTATATAAAAGTGGAAGTATGTGTGGACCAAGGTGCATAGTGGTCTGGGTATCCCAGATTTTAATAACAAAAATAGTAATATTTCAAAAACTGCTTTTCTCTGTGGGATGTAAGGTGCTTATCAGAATGGTGTTGGGATCTTTGAAGAGAAAGATTTGTCAGTCGTTGCTATAAGCCTGGGTGAATAGATGTGTATTGAGTCTGCTTTTATAAAACCTCCAGAGAGGGTGCTTCCTGGACCGTGTATGGAAGTGGGTTCCATGTTGTGGGTGCTGCATGATAGAATGCACATGATCTAAATCATTTTCAGAAAACTCTGGTCACGTAATTTTCACTATCATTTTCATTTCTCTGAGGACTGCAGAGAATGTGTGGGAGTTATGGGTAACCAGACGTTTTGTCAAATAGGTGAGACCCACCAGGCATCACAGGTGCATCCTGGGAACTCCTGTCACATGTTCCAGCAGGCAGACCCAGAGCTGTAGGCAAAATTCCAGGAAGTAAAGGGAGATGGATTCACCTACCCTTAGAGAAAATGGTCACTATGAGAAGAATGGGGTAGAAAAGAAAAATAAGGTATGTAAAGAATAAAAAGCTGGCAGATATTTATAAGTATTTGTTTGTAAATTGCCATTCTAAAGGGTGAAGTTCCACTTTAATAAGTGTGTAGGCCAGTTTTAAAGGATATCCTCCATTTAATTGGATGCATGTGTAGAGAGTGAAGAATTGGTGTGATTTGGCAGTGACAGAGTTGGTGGATGAGTAGTCTTGCTGTTGCATTCTAAACCAGTTGAAAACTATGTAGTTCTGGTTCAGGGAGAACATAGTAGAGGGAGATACAGTAATCCAGTCTTGATGGTAAAAAAGCATGGATTCATTGTTGCATAATTCTGCTGGAATCAGATGTTAGGCACAACTGTCTTGTCTGGGTTCTGTTTCAGCCATTTTTCTTAAGCTTTCTCGTATTGGCGTGCAGGCAAATTAGACACCCTTTGGCTGCCATTGTGCTCTGGTGAGCTCCTGATGTGTTCATGCACCTTTATGGAGGAAAGGGCTGCCTCCAGAAATTCCTGCACTTAATTTATTTGTCAGTATGGATGGTCTCATAGACCAAAATTAGAACTGCACTATACAGAGCAGTCTGTACGAGGCAGTCAGGCTCAGTTTTTTTTTTTTTTTTTTTTTTTTTTTCTTTTTTTGCTGGATAGCTGGTAAGTGTGATGAGAAATACATTTTATTTTGTTTGCTCTCTGTAAATTCCTTCCATGTGCACTTCAGTGCTTCACTGTAAAAGCTAGTTATAATATAGTTAGTTAGCATTTTTTGTTTAGCTAAAGATTTCTGGATCCAGAGAGGGCTTTTGTATTAATGGCCTGACAATAGCATCCTTAAGTTGGTGTGGGAAGATCCCTATATTGAAAGATCATGGTACAATTTTTTTGGACCACTAGACTAATGTGGTTAATGCATGCTAATAGTGGGCTTGCTGGAACTGGGTTAAGGTTACATGTATTTGAATGGGGATGTTTGATAATTAGCAACACCAATACTATCATATGTTGTCCAAAGCCTTCTTGATGTGAAGTCTATACTACTGGGCCCTGGGTGGTCTGTTGATTTTTCAGACTTAATTTCATTTTTGATTGAAAAGACTTAAGAAATATGCTAACACTTTAGTGTTTACCCATGCCTTTAACTGGACCTTCAGACAAAATTTTTGTGTTTGAAGTGGAGAATTGCTTCTGCCCTCCACCTCTGGCTTCTGAAAGGACATAGCTTGTTAGCTCATTTCCTTACCAAATTTTCTTATGGAGCTCTTTGTGGAAGTGATATTCCTGGCCAGCACACTCCACCTTTTAGAACCCATTAAAGAATACTCATGATTGATGCAAACATCCTAATTAAGCTTCTGAGGGCAGGTAATGATCTTATCATCATTGAAAAACTCTTTTTTTTAAACAGTCAGTTCATGATTTCATCCTCTTTGAATGGCTCCTTTTTTTTCAACATCTAGGACATCCCAATGTATTCTCACCCCATATGACTTCAAATTTCTCTGAACTCAAGTTGATAGTTCTCATATCTTTCATTGAGGAAAAGCTAGTGGTCTCAGCCTCCACAGTAGCCTTTTTCAACGTATTTACTCAAGTGAAACCCTTGAAATAATTTCCAGTACTCAAGGAAATCAAATGAGAAATGAGTTAGTCACAGCTCAAGGAACCTCCATCAGCCTCTGTTGGAACCCCTGTTTGAGAATGGCTGCTTTGTGATAGTAAGCAAAAACAAGGAAGTTTACATAATTCACATACAGTATATTCAATTTTGCTAAGATTGAGGAGGATAAACTTAACCTACTTACTCACTGGGTAGGGGAAACCCTGCTCAAGTCCATAAATTCAACCCTCGGAGGTGTGACACTTGGAGGAAGTGATACCTCCAACTGGAAACATTCATGGTGGTCATGCCTCAGAGAGGTTTTGGAGTTTATCAATGATTTCAGAACAATAGATCTTTCCCTTGATCCATAGAGGGTCCATTGAGTTGATAAATATAAAAGATGTTTGAATCAAATCATTATAGATTAAATGTGACTTTGAGTTTGATTCTGTAATATTGTTAGTCTCTAGCACCTTCTCTATGGAAATGTTCGCTGAAGGTTGACCATTGGTTAATAGCGGAACTTACATTTTGAAAAAGGTAATCTATTAAGAAAGTCTGACATTTGGACCTGCTGGCTACACTTTAAAACCTTAACAAAAGTATAAATTGTTCCTAATCTCGTATCTGGTTGACTTTTCCAAGACAAAAGAGGTTTTTATGGCTTTCATATCTACATATATTATTGGGTCATACTGTTGGTCCTGTTTTAGTGATGCTGGTCAAACAGAGAACCAGCCCGTGTACCTTTTTCATGTTCGTGATGTCTAACATAGTATTTATGAGCCAGGTCTGTACATTGCAAGATTTGACCAGTGGCTTTCCTTTCCTTTGCATCATGACATTGTCTATTCCCTCTCTATTGTACTTATTACTGTTATTGTTCATTATGTTTACATTTGTGAACCATTTTAGGATTGTACATTGTTACAGCATAACTGGTTTGCGTATTTGTCTTTTACAGTTAAAATATTAAAAGTGGAAAAATGAAATGTTGGATGTAACAACCAATCAGACTCTTACTGTCATTTCTGCCAGCAGAGATTTGAAATTAAATAATGTGATTGGTTGCTATGGATAACACTTCTTCATTTTCATACTTTTATTAAAGTGGTTGTAAAGGCTGACGGTTTTTTTACCTTCATGCATTTAATTCAAAGATATGCCAAATGTGGTGGTGGGTGAGGGGGAGGAGGACATAAAACAGAACTTCCCCTTTTGGGTCAAGTTCTGCTTTATCCTCCCTGGCGGTATTCCCAAGTGTAGCTCGTGGTAAAGTTTCAGTACCACAAGCGGTAACCCCGAGCTACACTCGGGCTTACCATGCAGCACTGCTCCGGGATCTGTTCTTCTCTTAACTTGTCCTGCGCTCCCACGATGTCCCTCCTGCAGTGTCCTCTGTTATGTCCTCCGGCAGATGCCGACATCTGTCTTCTGGATTCCGTCCCCTGACACGGCGGGAAATTTGAAAATGACAAAAAGTGACATTCACTAAAATAACATAGTAAAACATTACTGTATCAAACCATTTCACATACATTTTGTCCCTAGTGCTTTGTCCTGTGCCCTGCCTGCATTTTTACCGTTCTTTCTGCCTGGAAACTGAGAAATGTCCATGGCGTCCAAAAAGCGTCCCTTTAGGTCAAAATAGGTTTTAGACCAGCTAGAGAACAGTGATCGTAAATTAGAACTACTTGCAGAATTGAGTGATAATGATTCGTGGGGAAATTCGTCATCAGACACTGAAAACGATTTTGCGACTTTGCTCAGTGATGTGCGAACTTGGTGCTATATTTCAAATTTCAGTGCTTTTGGTTTGATTATATTATTGAATTTAATTTATTATTATTATATTATTTTTTTTATGACTATTTATTAAATTATAATTTTATGATTTTGTGTTTCAAATTTTAACATACCTGGGATGTTTACTAGACTCTTGTTCGGACAGATTTCAGTGAGTTATTCCTAAAAATTACAGGCCTACAATAAAAAAAATACATATTTCCATGCACAAAAATGTACCACTTTGAGCACAGAAATATGGACATAATCAGACCGCTAGGGAGGTTAATGAACAACTAACCAGCTTCTTCAGTTTTTAAGACTGCATTAGTGAGATTACTTCATTGGAGTATTGAGCTTAATCTACGGGTTGAGGCCATTAAGCTCTGCTTTAATGAACAACCAACCAGCTTCTTCAGTTTTTAAGACTGTATTGGTGAGATTTCTTCTTTGGAGTATCCAGCTCAATCCATGGGTTGAGGCCTTTATGAGCAGGGGGTCTCTTTTTTTGACAGAAGCTCTGCAATCCATGTTAGATTCTTTCATTTATTTTACATTGTAAAATGGGACATGAAATAAGCAGAATGAAAACATGGTAAGATACTAAATAATGGTGATGGCAAAATGTATTTTCACAGGTTTCTCATGCAGTCAATGTATTTTAACTGTATCATTTTTTTTTTCTTTTTTCAGGAGATGGGTCCGACTCTTGTTTGGCCGGGAGTTCCCTCTGCAGGACCTGCTTGTTATCTGGGATGCTTTGTTTGCTGACAGCATTACATTAGATTTGGTGGACTATGTTTTTGTAGCCATGCTGCTGTATATTAGGGATGCATGTAAGTACCACATCACTATTTACTTACCATGGTATCTATGTATTGTTCTGGGACTTTGTGGAATACAATTTTCATGAAAGTAAAATGTTAATGTTGTGACTAGCTCATCCAGAAGGATATAAGGGCTAGCTTCTTACACAGTATGGACCTAAGACCCTGTAAATAAATGTATATAGGGAAGCTTGAGGGGGCCTGATTCATCTCGTAGCCCAAGGCCTGCTTCATGGCTAAACTGGGATATCCATTGCCACTGGTGCTGTGGAGACCTCCCTGTGCATGAGCACCTTGCTTTTTTACATCAATCAGAGACTGGCAATGTAATACTCAAAGCTAATACTTCATTTTTTCCTACTTTATTCTTTTTTTTTTTTGTTAAAATGTCAAAACATTTTCAAGATATTTAATGTTTTTCACTACACTGATCATGTCTTTTGTGACAAATTATTGCTTATATATTTTTGTTGTGTAAAAATAATGTGGCAGATGTGTTTGTTCCAATATTGTGTACGATCTATACAAGCAAACTTTTTTTAGGGTATAAAAAAAAAATCTAGAACCTCTGTCAGGTTTTTTTTTTTTTTTTTTTACTGATGTCTGTGTCCTTTTCATCCTCTGGTGACCGTTGTCAACAGGCAGGAGGTAATAGGAAATTCATACATTTTACAGTTGTCACAAGAAGTGTGGGGAGACCTTGTAATGTGGATACATTTTTCAGTGTCAACAATCTATGCAGAGACCTTCCCTCATTTACCGTATTTTTCACTCCATAAGATGCACCTGACCATAAGACGCACCTAGGTTTTAGGAGGAAAACAAGAAAAAAAAATATTCTGAACCAATGGACTGCAGACATAGTACAGGAAATGACCAGAGACTGACGACATACTACAGGAGATAACCAGAGACTGCGGACATACTACAAGAGATGACCAGAGACTGTGGACACAGTACAGGAGATGACCAGAGACTGCGGACATAGTACAGGGGATGAACAGAGACTGCGGACATAGTACAGGAGATGACCAGAGACTACGGACATGGTACAGAAGATGACCAGAGACTGTGGATATACTACAGGAGATGGCCAGAGACTGCGGACATAGTACAAGAGATGACTGGAGACTGCAGACATAGTACAGGAGATGACCAGAGACTGCGGACACAGTACAGGAGATGACCAGAGACTGCGGACACAGTACAGGAGATGACCAGAGACTGCGGACATAGTACAAGAGATGACCAGAGACTGCAGACATACTACAGGGGATGAACAGAGATTGCGGACATAGTACAGGGGATGAACAGAGATTGCGGACATAGTTCAGGAGATGACCAGAGACTGACATGGTACAGGACCAGAGACTGTGGACATGGTACAGAAGATGACCAGAGACTGCAGACATGGTACAGGGAATGAACAGAGACTGCAGACACGGTACAAGAGATGACCAGAGACTGCGGACACGGTACAGGAAATGAATTGAGACTGTGGACATGGTACAGGAGATGACCAGAGACTGCGGACATGGTACAGGAGATGACCAGAGACTGCAGACATGGTACAGAAGATGATCAGAGACTGCGGACATGGTACAGGAGATGATCAGAGATTGCGGACATGGTACAGGAGATGATCAGAGACTGCGGACATAGTACAGGAGATGATCAGAGACTGCGGACATGGTATGGGAGATGACCAGAGACTGCGGACATGGTATGGGAGATGACCAGAGACTGCGGACATGGTATGGGAGATGACCAGAGACTGTGGACATGGTACGGGAGATGACCAGCGACTGTGGACACTATATGGGAGATGACCAGAGACTGCAGACTTTTGGGGAGCAGAGGGGGGGGGGAGTGGGTGCCCAAATTTGATAGATACCTGCTCCCACTACCGTGGAGTTGTCCTCCCTCCCCGTTTTCTGGACCATTCACAAAGCGCAGCGCTTCTCACGCATGTGCAGTGGGCTACCAGCTGTGAAGTCGCAAGCTATCACAGCTAGGTGCCCACAGTAAAGATGGTGGGGAGAAAAGACGGTGAGGACAGCGCTGGACTGAGGAGCACAGTAGAGCCGAGCGGCCGGCCCGGTATTCTAACACGGCGGCAGCGGCGGGAATACCGGGCCGGCTGCTCCATAAGACACACATACATTTTCCCCCTTTTTTGCAGGGGATAAACTGCGTCTTATGGAGTGAAAAATACGGCAAGTTGTGTCTCTAGCAAGAAAAGTGAAGGGCAATGTCTCCAGTAGGACACAGAAGTGGGCATTTATCAAGCAAATTAGTGGCAGTACAAGACATGGATCAGGATGCCTCTTATTCTCAAATTCTGTGCAATAGTTTTTATGTTTATTTGTGGCCCCTGGAATCCTGGGCAACCAACTGTAACAGATTTGGCCAGGTCTGCAAGCAATTTAGCACTGGAGACAAGAGAGCGTTTTATTCTAAGCAGACGCACAATGAAGAAGTGGTCCGAGGCAGATTGTATTCTTTTGCAATGCTACTTTAGAGGAGTTTGTGACTGATCATCTCTCTCACTGCTCCTACTTAGCATTACCTTGCGTGCAACAAAATTGATAAATGTCCCCCGTAGTGTGTTGTAGTATAATGCGTTTAGCTATGTGTTTTATTTAACACATGGCATGCTGTGTGGTGCAATGCAGTGCAGTCCATTTAGAGTAGTACACCAAAGCACAAGTACGGTAGGTGCCAATGGACTTGCATTGCAGTTTGCTGCATTAGAAGACTGCTACAGATCAGTTAACACAGCCTATATTAATGTGTAAAATAACAATATTAGGGTGCATGTTGTGATACACCACAATGGACTTTAGGGGTATGAAGGGGGCTAACCATTTCCTATGTTGTTTTTTACATACTTTAAAGAGGATCTTCATTGTCCCCCCAATAAATTAAAAGTCATCAGCTACAAATACTGCAGCTGCTGACTTTTATAATAAGGGCACTTACATGTCCAGAGATCCAGTGCCGTCCTCATCCGGGTTGGTTCTTCATCGGTCTTTGGGTCCCTGGCATTGGCATGTTTAAGAATGGAAGCCAGCTCTGAGTCCTCGTGGCTTCACAACAGGTTTTCTGCTGCACATGTGCAAGGCGCACTTTGCTGCGCATTGTAAATGGGCCTGCAACTTTTTGGTGCTTGTGACATGTTCCAGAAAGCTGCAGGCAGGGAGGGGGGATTCAAACTTCCACTCAGATCGCCTTGCCCATCTGAGCTTAAGTGGGAGTGGATACCTGTCAAAATCAGGTACCTGCTCCCCCTGAAGAAAACTGTGCCCAAAAGTGTTCGAGTGGGGGGGTTAGAGTAGGGGGGGGGGTGAAGGTGGAAAAACTGAACTTCTCCTTTTGGGTGAAGTTCCGCTGTAAGTTATAATTTGGACACAAAGAATAAATGTTCAAACATCTGATCTGTACACAAGCACTGATTAGATTGCCAATATAAACAGACCATTAATTTCCAGTTGTCATGCTTGCAAGTTAAAAAATGAAAAAAAAAAGATGTTAATACTTGACATGTATAATGGAAAGGGATAGTTTTCAATGTTGGGTCAGTGGTCATTTCTAAAACATACTAGAATAACCCATACAGTCCCAGTTTGTAAACAGTAGTTGTAACTATAGTAGATTACTTATGAAAAAAAGTAAATATATATTTATAGTTTAATTCTGAGCAGCAATGCTTTATTTGTGGTCGTTCATGACAACAGTAGAGCAGCCATTAGTAATGAGCACCACCTGCTGGACAGCAAAGAAAACACATCCAGTATATAGTTGCATCACATCATCCTGTGTATATCTGGCTCAGCTGAAAATAAAATGTACTTTTTCAAGTAATGTTGTGGTTAACCATCATTACAAACACTAGGGGCCCATTAACTGAACCCTCAAATCAGATCACAGATAGAACAGTTTAGATTTTTCCAGTGCTCTTTAAAAGCGCTTTCTTCCTTCTTTGATGAATCGCTGTACACTTACATTTAAATAGGGATATACAATTGTGGCATTGATAAAAACAGTATAATGTAAATAATGACACTGTGATGGATCACCTGGGATACTCAGGGTTTAATACATAAAAGTTTAGATGTACACCACAGTTCATTTAAATAAACATTAATATATAATTATGTTTAGCTAACATTCTTTCTTTTCTCATGCTGTCATCTTCATACTTGTGCAAGAAAGCAAGAAACCAATCGCTAAATTTGATAGGACTTAATCTGGGTCAATTTAATTTATAAGAGGAAGTTTTGACACTATTAAAAAGAAAACTGATGTGAAAAATGCTAATGTTCACTGTATTTCTTAAAGGAGCTTATATATAAAAATACCTAACTTGAGCCAATATATTTATGTTTTCAGAGTTTAATAGTTTTGCCTATAATAATTACATTACTTCCAGATCTCAATTCATTATTTCCAGTTATATTTTAGTTTGGATCCTGGAGACCCGAGTCTACTCAAACAGCAAGATTCCCCAACCATAATATCTGCCTCTGTACCCATTCATGGGGAGATTTGGGTGTTCCTTGCTTCTTTCGCAAGTTTCAGCACCTACTGTTTCACATACCATATAATTTAATTAATAAAACTGGGAATCCCTCATAATAACCAGTAAAGTATCAACAAGTAAAATACAATTGTGTGCATTGTTACTATAAATCATTAAATGCTAAGTTCAGCTTTTCAATAAACTAGCCCATGCAGACAAGGGGCCTCCAGTAGTTTGCAGTGGTTGTAAAACCTTCCATATACCCAGTGAAGTGACTGGCCTCACTTGATACACAGAGATGAAACAAATCCCCCTACTTAAGTTGTGCCTGTTTATCTGCAGTTTTCTCTTCTCTACAGCCGTTTAGGACCTAGTTACACCAGAAACTGCATGTAACTGCGCATTTGATATCCATTTTACATGTAGTTGATGTGTTATTACATGCAGTTAATGGGTGCTTTTATATCTGCATTTGACCTGTGAGGTCAAGTCTTTCTTCTTTCTTGGGCTTCTGTCTGTACTGTGATGTGTTGCAGTGTGTTTGCGGTGCACAAAAATGCAGCATGCTGTACTGTACTTGTCTGTACTGTGCTGCACTCCACTGCAATGGTGTGAACTATGGCCATAGGAGAGCCTGGATTGTGAACTGTCTATGCAGTTGGAGTGCAGTCCAAAATGCATCCGTTTGCATCCCACTGCGTTAGATGTGAAAAGGCCCTAAAAGTGAAAATTTCTAACCACTTGTCTGAGCTGTCAGAAGACAGGGTACAAAGAACAGAAATTACATACTGCTCAGTGAGACAAGCTTTAAGAACTAATTGGAGGGAAGGGACACCCTCCCCCCACCCTTCAAACAGCACACACAGCTGAGGCTTTGAACCACAGGCTGTGTGCTGGGGCTCCTCCCCTGCCCCCCCCCCCCCCCCTTCCCCATCATCTTTTTTCTCTTGGTGTCAAGAAAACTTGTCAGAATTGACTCATGCTAGTGGCAGAGGAATGAGACAGCAGACAGAAATATCACTTAATGCTCTGGATTGAGACAAGTACACAGTATGGGAGGATATGTTTTGTTCATATTTTATGTCTGATGTTTACAACCACTTTAAATATACTGTGCTGTAAAAATGTGAACAGTGAGCAAAATAGGTGCACAAATACTGCACCAAAAGGTAATTCTGAATATAAATAAATAAAGTTCAATTTGAATAAATACAGTTCATGAAGTGCCACAAAACTGCTCCATAATTCATAATCAAGTAAACTCGTGATTGGATGAGAATCAGAACGATTTCATAACTTCAAACCCAAAAGTGATTCTGGTGACTGGGATTAGGAATGACTCCAGTGCTCGTGACTTCAGGTGGTGAATAATATGTGCTTGCTCTTACCAGAAGCGCAAGTCATATGCGCATGTAATAAATATTTCCAAACAGAACTCTGGTGATCTTCATGGATCTGGCCGCAATCATGTACAATGGCTCGCACTGCCTGTTGGAATCCCCAGGTTGCCACGGTAACCGTGCGGCTGTAAACCAGGGTTCTGTTTGGAAATTATTGGAAATTATTACTACATGCGCATATGACATATGACAAGCACATATTATTCACCACCTGAAGTCACGAGCACTGGAGTCATTCCTAATCCCAGTCACCAGAATCACTTTTGGGTTTGAAGTTATGAAATCGTTCTGATTCTCATCCAATCATGAGTTTACTTGATTATGAATTATGGAGCACTTTTGTGGCACTTCATGAACTGTATTTATTCAAATTGAACTTTATTTATATTCAGAATTACCTTTTGGTGCAGTATTTGTGCACCTATTTTGCTCACTGTTCACATTTTTATCCAGCTACAACATTACTGGATTGCTTCCTTGCTGGCACTTTTAGGCACTTTATTTTATTTATTTATTTTTTCATGTTTACAATCATATACTTATAGTGCAATATATATATACTGGTAGTGCAATACTTTTCGTGCAATAATTTTATATTTTCATGTTTACTATTGGATATAATCATTCATCCATTCACTATATACCTTGCTACTGGATTTTAATCTTTCTATATTTTATTAGCGCAGCATATTGCTATATCATATGTAAAACATGAACTTAGCCACTAACAGACCCAACATTTTTTAGCTGTTGCTTTCCTTTATTATGAAGCTTTATACTTGAGAATTAGACCTAATATTGATCTAAGTGTGTTTAAAGGATAAGTTCACCTGTATTTTGGGTGTAACATGTGACATGCTCAAGACCAGCACTAGTTCCTGCACCCCCAATGCCTCTCCCCTATTCCCAGTGACAGCAGGTAGAAGTTCCTTTCCCCACACCAGCGCCCTCATATTTAATTGACATGTCCCCCAGCGTTCTAACAGAAAGCCAGTTCAGAGAAACAGGCAAGAAAGCTGAAGTATATGTCTGCAGGAGCCTGACATTGCACCCACAATCCACTGGTTGCAGGTAAAATGCTCTGGAGGCTTCTGTGCAAGCAATAATAAGTGCATACAGTCAGGTCCATAAATATTGGGACATCGACACAATTCTAACATTTTTGGCTCTATACACCACCACAATGGATTTGAAATGAAACAAACAAGATGTGCTTTAACTGCCGACTGTCAGATTTAATTTGAAGGTATTTTCATCCAAATCAGGTGAACGGTGTAGGAATTACAACAGTTTGCATATGTGCCTCCCACTTGTTAAAGGACCAAAAGTAATGGGACAGAATAATCATAAATCAAACTTTCACTTTTTAATACTTGGTTGCAAATCCTTTGCAGTCAATTACAGCCTGAAGTCTGGAAGGCATAGACATCACCAGACGCTGGGTTTCATCCCTGGTGATGCTCTGCCAGGCCTCTACTGCAACTGTCTTCAGTTCCTGCTTGTTCTTGGGGCATTTTCCCTTCAGTTTTGTCTTCAGCAAGTGCAATGCATGCTCAATCGGATTCAGGTCAGGTGATTGACTTGGCCATTGCATAACATTCCACTTCTTTCCCTTAAAAAACTCTTTGGTTGCTTTTGCAGTATGCTTTGGGTCATTGTCCATCTGCATTGTGAAGTTCTGAAGCATTTGGCTGAATATGAGCAGATAATATTGCCCGAAACACTTCAGAATTCATCCTGCTGCTTTTGTCAGCAGTCACATCATCAATAAATACAAGAGAACCAGTTCCATTTGGCAGCCATACATGCCCACGCCATGACACTACTACCACCATGCTTCACTGTTGAGGTGGTATGCTTAGGATCATGAGCAGTTCCTTTCCTTCTCCATACTCTTCTCTTCCCATCACTCTGGTACAAGTTGATCTTGGTCTCATCTGTCCATAGGATGTTGTTCCAGAACTGTGAAGGCTTTTTTAGATGTCGTTTGGCAAACTCTAATCTGTCCTTCCTGTTTTTGAGGCTCACCAATGGTTTACATCTTGTGGTGAACCCTCTGTATTCACTCTGGTGAAGTCTTCTCTTAATTGTTGACTTTGACACACATACACCTACCTCCTGGAGAGTGTTTTTGATCTGGCCAACTGTTGTGAAGGGTGTTTTCTTCACCAGGGAAAGAATTCTTTGGTTATCCACCACAGTTGTTTTCCGTGGTCTTCCAGGTCTTTTGGTGTTGCTGAGCTCACCGGTGCATTCCTTCTTTTTAAGAATGTTCCAAACAGTTGTTTTGGCCACGCCTAATGTTTTTGCTATCTCTCTGATGGGTTTGTTTTGTTTTTTCAGCCTAATGATGGCTTGCTTCACTGATAGTGACAGATCTTTGGATCTCATCTTGAGAGTTGACAGCAACAGATTCCAAATGCAAATAGCACACTTGAAATGAACTCTGGACCTTTTATCTGCTCATTGTAATTGGGATAATGAGGGAATAACACACACCTGGCCATGGAACAACTGAGAAGCCAATTGTCCCATTACTTTTGGTCCCTTAACAAGGGGGAGGCACATATGCAAACTGTTGTAATTCCTATACACGTTCACCTGATTTGGATGTAAATACCCTCAAATTAAAGCTGACAGTCTGCAGTTAAAGCACATCTTGTTCGTTTCATTTCAAATCCATTGTGGTGGTGGTATAGAGCCAAAAATGTTAGAATTGTGTCGACGTCCCAATATTTATGGACCTGACTGTATGTTTTTTAACCACCTCCCGCCCGCCATATAGTCCAATGACGGGCCCAAGGTGGTTTTCTTATTCTGGGAGGACGTCATATGACATCCTCCCATTCTCACCGCGCATGCGTGGCCCAGGGAGCGCGCAGCGTGGCGATCGGCGGTTCGCTGTGTCCCTTGGACACAGCGAATCACCGATCACGGAAAGAGCCGAAGATGTCGGCTCAGTCATATGATCAGCTGTGTCCAATCACAGCTGATCACATGTAAACAGAGGAAATGCCGGTTATCGGCATTTCTCTCCTCTCGAGCTGTCAGTGTGGGGAGGAGGTAATCGGCTTTCCGCGGAGGGGACATGTACACTGATCATCAGGGCACTGATGATCAGTGTAGCCCCAGCAGTGCCACCTGTCAGTGTCCATCAGTGCCTCGTGCCAGTGCCCATCAGTGCCACATCAATGCCACATATCAGTGCCCATCTGAGCTGCCTTTCAATGTCACCCATCAGTGCCAATCAGTGCCACCTATCAGTGCTGCCAATCAGTGCCACCTATCAGTGCCAGTCAGTGCCGCCTATCAGTGCCAGTCAGTGCCACCTATCAGTGCCAGTCAGTGCTGCCTATCAGTGCCATGTATCAGTGCTGCCTATCAGTGCCATGTATCAGTGCTGCCTTTCAGTGCCCATCAGTGATGCCTGTCAATGCCCAACAGTGCCTCCTCATCAGTGCCCATCAGTGCAGCCTATCAGTGCCCATCACTGCAACCTCATTAGCGTATATCAGTGAAGGAGAAAAATCACTTATTTACAAAATTTTATAACAAAAACTAAGAAAAAACTTTTTTTTCCAAAATTTTCAGTGGTTTTTGGTTTAAGAAAAAAATAAAAAACCCAGAGGTGATTAAATACCACTAAAATAAAGCTCTATCTGTCACAAAAAAAATGATAAAAATTTCATATGGGTACAGTGTTGTATGACCGCGCAATTGTCATTCAAAGTGCGACAGCGCTGAAAGCTGGAAATTGGCCTGGGCAGGAAGGGGGTATAAGTGCCCTGTAGGCTTGTGGTTAACCTGTTTACTCCAACAGTACGCAAATATGCGGCATCTCGGCGGCTGGGCCTTGATGCCGAGCAGCCGCATATTTGCGTACCAGAAGTAAACAAACGTGCCGAGAGCACATTTACCAGCACCTCGCGGAAAGCTCGCGATTGGGACCTTTCCGATCATTTGGCTGCTGTGACAGCCAATCACAGCAATCACATGACCCATCTCCTAACATCACAAACCCCTTAAGGGCCAGGAGGTGCCGGCGCCAAGGGGTTAACCTACAAAAATATGTGCATTTATTATTTCTTGCAGAAAGATGAGCTTATCCTTCAACTGCTTCAGCCAAAGCTTCTTTTTCAGTTTAGGCCAATAGGATTATTTTTTATTTTATAGCCCCATGTTTTCATAACAATAAAATTAGATAAAGATTAAAAACAAATATTTCCTAATAGATGCCCTAACAATATAGAACCCCCTTTGTAATCCCTTGGTCAAAGTGGCCCAAGTCAGGACTTTGATTGCTTTCTGCTATAACGACAGGTATAGGACAGAACACATTCGGTGTATTATGTTTTTTGGAAGCAAGTAATAAGTAACTTTGTTTTTCTTCAGCTTTAAAAGATAAAGGATTAACAGAAAGTAGACTTGTTTCAGTATGCTAGCAGATAGTATTGTTGCAGGCAGTCAATATGGTATACTAAACAAGCATCATTAATAGGCTTTGCTTTGACAGCCGCAGCAGATGGATTGCTTGCATTTCGATTGGAGAAAAAAATGCAGTTTTCATAGACCTGCCTTGAATGATGGGTTTAGTAATTGCCCTTGTAAAATGTATGATTTTGGAAAAGAAAATAACAATGGGAAAAAAAACGGTGCTTAAGACAAAAGTAACAAATTAAATACAGGTATTGTTTTTTTTTGTCAGACAGGAAAATAAATTACTGTGAAAAGGTTAGTTAGACTCTGTCAGTGTTTTTTTTTTTTTTTTTTTTTTTTTTTGTTTTACTATGTTTAGTGTGACATTAAATAGGAGTTTAATGAAACAATGCACGGCAAGTCAAGCAATTCCTTTAATTGTTGTTAAACCAGGTACAGTGCCTTGAAAAGTGTTCTTACCCCTTGAAATTGTCCACATTTTGTCATGTTACAACCAAAAACATAATTATATTTACATTGGGATTTTATGTGATAGACCAACACAAAGTGGTGCATAGTTGTGAAGTGGAAGAAAAATGATAAATGGTTTTCAAAATGTTTGCAAATAAATATCTGAAAAGTGTGGCATGCTTTTGTATTCAGCTCCTTTTACTCTGATACGCCTAACTAAAATCTAGTGGAACCAATTGCCTTAAGAAGTCACCTTATTAGTAAATAGAGTCCACCTTGTGTAATTTAATCTCAGTATAAATACAGCTGTTCTGTGAAGCCTTCAGAGGTTTGTTAAAGAACATTAGTGAACAAACAGCATTATGAAGGCCAAGGAACACACCAGCCAGGTCAGGGATAAAGTTGTGAAGAAGTTTAAAGCCGGGTTAGGTTATAAAAAATATGTCCCAAGCTTTGAAAAAGCACTATTCAATCCATCATCCAAAAATGGAAAGAGTATGGCACAACTGCAAACCTACCAAGACATGGTCGTCCACCTATACTGACAGGCCAGGTAAGGAGGGCATTAATCAGAGAAGCAGCCAAGTGGCCCATGGTAACTCTGGAGGAGCTTCAAAGATCCTCAGCTCAGGTGGGAGAATCTGTCCACAGGACAACTATTAGTCGTGCACTCCACAAATGTGACCTTTAGGGAAGAGTGGCAAGAAGAAAGCCATAAGAAGTCCGGTTTGCAGTTTCCGAGAAGCCATCTGGGGGACACAGCAAACGTGGAAGAAGGTGCTCTGGCCAGATGAGATCAAAATTGAACATTCTGGCCTAAAAGCCAAGTGCTATGTGTGGGGGGGAAACTAACACTGCACATCACCCTGAACACCTCATCCCCACCATGAAACATGGGGGTGGCAGCATCATGTTGTGGGGATGCTAGTCTTCAGGAGGGACAGGGCAGCTGGTCAGAGTTGATAGGACGATGGATGGAGCCAAATACAGGACAATCTTAGAAGAAAACCTGTTAGAGTCTGCAAAAGACTTGAGACTGGAGTGGAGGTTCAACTTCCAGCAGGACAACAACCCTAAACATACAACCAGATCTACAATGGAATGGTTTAGATCAAAGCATATTCATTTATTAGAATGACCCAGTCAAAGTCCAGACCTAAATCCAATTGAGAATTGCTGTTCACAGATGCCCTCCATCCAATCTGACAGAGCTTGAGCTATTTTTCAAAGAAGAATGGACAAAAATGTCACTCTCTAGATGTGCAAAGCTGGTAGAGATATCCCCAAAAAGACTTGCAGCTGTAATTACAGTGAAAGATGGTTCTACAAAGTATTGATTCGGGGTGCTGAATACAAATGCACATCACATTTTTCAGATATTTTTATTTGTAAAGAATTTCAAGGGGTATGAAGACTTTTTCAAGGCACTGTGCCACTGATCTAAGGTGAACTCTGGAAGAATTTCAGAGAACGTATGAAAAAAATATGTAAATTGTATTTTTGGTACAATTTGCGCTCCTTAGCTCTTTAGCGCTTAATAGACCCTGACTTCTGCACAAGTTTAGCCTATTACACTCCATATTATCCATTGCTTTTAATCTCCACCCTGTAACTTCCTCCATTTTAAAATTATCATCATAACATTAGCTTCTCTGTGTCTTTAATTGTAGCCAGGTCACCACTTCATATGTAATAGTAGGTGTGATTATCAGTCTGTAGAATTGAATTTATATTTCTGTGACAAAGTCTTTGATCTCATAACTATGATTATTGAGTAATAACATCTGTAACATTTAATGTATAACATAATACCTGACCTGCTCCTACTCCACCTTTTTGGTTTCTTGAAGCTCAAGCACACTTTTGGACGGGTGTAAAAAAAAAAAACCCCAAAAAAAAACCATCAGTTTAACCATTTCACGCAGCTTTGAAGGCAACATTGAAAATGCAAAAATAATTGAAATAACATGTTTTAAAGCACAACCTTAGGAAAATGAAATTGCGGGGTTTCTCCCACATTGCAAAGGTTAACTGCTCATTTAAGTCTTGGGGGGGGAATACAAAATAAGATTTATTTTCCCATTGCTCAACCTCTCCATATTGTTGAACTGGTCCCCACAACGTCTTCTCCCTCCATGCTCCATCTGTCCAGGGTCCTGACATCAAGGTTAATGCAGGGTTCATAGCCATGTATTGAATGGGATGATGCCAAGGGATAGTCCACATAGAAGAGCAGAGGATCAGGTAAGTAATCATGCATTTACACTCCCCTAGAATAAGCAAGCAGTTGACCATTACAGTGCTGGCATAACCCCAATGTAAGTGAGAGCCTTCAGATTTCCCAGAGTTTCATGGACAGTGTCAGTGATCGCATACACTAGCAGTGCGTATTTGGCTGTGAAGTTTATTTTTTTCTTTTATAATTAGTTTGACTTACATACAGCCGCATTGCCTCATTCTGATTAATTTCAGTTTGAGATAAAGACTTATTTCAGGTAGCTTTAGCAGTAACACATACTTTTTCATTAAAACAATATTAGTCTCATTTTGACCTGTGTGTTGAAATTGGCCAGTAGTCCACTGTGGCTGTCCCTGTTCTCTGCGATGCAAAACTCTCCTGATGCTGGTCAATTTTTCTTAGACTCTTATTAAGAAGAAGGAGCACAGATGATTTTTTTTAATAAGGGAGAATTGGCTGAATGTACTAAAGAAAAAGGGTACAGGCAGCTTTTTTACTACATGAATTAAGAGGGTGCAGAGGGTGGATGACACAGCAGTGTAAAATCGGGCAGCAGCAGGGCAGTTTTAAATAGCAATTCTAGGGCTAAATTTACTAGAGACAACGAGCACATGCTGGGGCTTTACCACGAGAATTAGGATAATCAGAGAAAACAGGCCAAAATGCACTAAAGACAAATGGTACAGGCAGGTCCTTTACTACACGATTTAACAGACCACAGATAATCCAGTAGTGTAAAAGTGGCCTGCAGCAGGGTTAGGCCCAAATTTATTAGAGACAAAGAACACATGCTGGGGTTTTACTGAAAGAATTAAGATACTGTAGAGGATATAGCAGTGTACAATTCCCCATTAATGGGACAGTTTTCATTACAGATGTAATCCTAGACTCCCATCTGAAACCTCGGAAACCACTAAGCAACTTATTCAGTCCCTTGTTATCTCTCACCTTGACTATTGTAACTCCCTCCTCATTGACCTACCTCATCGCAGGCTATCCCCTCTTCAGTCTATCATGAATGCTGCTGCCAGACTCATCCACCTTACTAACCGTTCTGTATCTGCCACCCCTCTCTGCCAATCCCTCCACTGGCTTCCCGTTGCCCAACGGATAAAATTCAAAACATGAACAATAACATAGAAAGCCATTTATAACTCTGCCCCAAATTACATCACCGATCTTGTCTCCAAATATCACCC